GAATGACTTGGAGCTTGAACAGATGGATGTCAAGATAACATTCTTGCATAGAGAATTTGAGGAGAGCATCTACATGCAACAACCAAATGGGTTCATACTCTCTGAAAAAGAAGACTATGTGTGCTTATTGAAGAAGTCCTTGTATGGATTAAAGCAGTCACCGATGTAGTAGTATAAGATGTTTGATTCATTCATGACTACTCTTGATTTTTTTAGATGTAATTATGATAGTTATGTGTACTTCGAAAAAGAAGATAGTTGAAAGACTACATAATTGTTATTATGAGCCCGTTTGTTTCCGATTAAAATCCAATTAAAATTGAAAATATGACCGTTATTGGGTTTCATTCATCTAATAAAAGTCAACAATAACGACTAATTTTTCAATTTTAATCTCTACCGAACACGCCCTATATGTTGATGACATGTTCATAGCAGCCAAAGATAAAGCAGATGTCAGAAAAGTGAAGTTTCAACTTAACAAGGAGTTTGATATGAAGGATTTGGGTGCAACAAAAAAGATTTTTGGTATGAAAATCTTGAGGGATAGAAATGTTTGAAGATTGTATTTGAGTCAGAAGGGGTACATTGAGAAGGTCCTTGAAAGATTCAATATGGTGAATGCTAAAGTGTCAGTATTCCCTTGGCTGCCCACTTCAAATTATCATCTAACTGTGCCCTCAGTCAGATGAAGACATTGATTACATGTCTCGGGTTCCTTATTCTAGTACAGCTGGTTCGCTGATGTATACTATGGTTGGTACACGACTTGATTTGGCACATGTAGTTAGTGCAGTTACTAGATACATGGCAAAACTTGACAATGAACATTAGAAAACAATGGATTTTCAGATACTTGAGGGGCTCTTCTAATACTTGTTTGTATTTTGGTAGAAATTCAAATGCAGTAATTGTGTATGTGGATTTAGATTATGCAGGGGTCTTGATAAAAGGAGATCACTTGGAGGATATGTGTTTACTTTTGAAAGCTATACTATCAGCTAAAAAGCTACTTGACAAAATACAGTAGCTTTGTCTACAATAGAACTAGAATACATGGCATTACAAAGGCATGTAAGAAGGCTATGTGGTTGAGAGAATTGATTGGTGAAATCAGTGAAGATTTGTAGGTGTCTACAGTATTCTTATAGTATTCTGTGATAGTTAGAGTGCAATTTTCTTGACTAAAGATCAAATGTTTCACCAGAGGACTAAACATATTGATGTGAGGTATCATTTTGTGTGTAATGTGATTGTTCGTGGTAATATTGTTGTGAGCAATGTTGATACCAAGGATAATCCTTCTGATATGATAACAAAACCACTTCATATTGCTAAGTTTTATAATTGCTTGAATTTAGTAGGTGTTTGTCATTGATTTAGTCCATTGGGGCTTGTTTGGAAGATGAAGAATGTTGTTTAGTTAGAGATGTGTCTTGAATTCCTTGTGATCGAATTTGTTTCAAGGTGGAAATTTGTTGTGATGTGATTCAAATTCCATGTTATTTGGGTTTGGTAGAATAAAATAAGTCTAAGGACTTTGGGTTTTTAAGAGTCTAAATTAATGAAAATCAATTTTCATTAAAAATTGAAAGTTTGACTTGGAAAAGGACTTGAAAATGAGGAAAAACACTTTGAAACGAAAAACGAAGAAAAAAAGAAACAGAAGGTTCGACGCAGCGCACAGAGAACCCGGCGTCGCGATGCCCGAAAGTTGCGACGAGGCTCCACCGAGGTATTTTAATTCCGTTTTTCCGGATTTTAGGACTTGTTCTTCATCTAAAACTCCAACAAAGACATATATATGATTTTTTGCTGCTAAACTAATTCAATTTGTTTGAATTTAGCTCCTTCTACGTGGCTCTGTTCTCTATCACAGGCAAATTGACCAATCAACATCATAATCTGCCTGTAAACCATGTTGACTTTTCACTATACTAATGTCACAAA